CTGCTTCCTCTTTCCCAGAATTAACGCGCGCTGTCTCTAGCTCACCCTCTGCATACCAAAGATCCACTCGGACAGAAATAAAATTCCTATCTCACAATATTATAATAGATGGTCATATTTAGTGCTTTCAACATCTGTAATTTAAAATTATAACCTTTTGTATTAATATTTTGACTTAGAGATTTTTTTTTACTCCTTTAGCAACACAGTCCTGCAGTTCAACTTGTTCAGTACCAGAACAACTAGTTCAGTAACCTGCCCGTTACGCCTGACATGTTTAATGTGGAAAAAATTCTGTGCAATCCTCATGTTACTTAACAGCTGTGGTCTGCAAAAAATTACACCTTCTTCTCCTAACCAGGTTACATCCCCTCCTCCCCGACCACGGCTCACCAGATGGGAAAAGAGGGACCCCAGAGAAGCTGTACTGCTCTGCCTCCTACCACCCTTCCCTCCCAGCACAGCCTTCCTGCGCTTCCCCCTCTGTCCACAGCCCACAAAGGCAGCAGGAACAAAGATGTGCTCCCCTCCCTCAAGGAATAGGGAACCTCAGTGGGAAAGGAGGAGACACGGGAGATCCCTGACATAACTGCATTTACGGAAGACACACGTGGGTATCTCGTGCCCAAATCTCAAGAGAGACGTTTGCCTCTCCTGCCATGCCCAAACCTGCACATCAGGCAGAGTTTATTGCCCAAACTGTACAGTCTGCTTCTCTGGACAATGTGACCACCAACTACCTGGTTTTGTTCCCTGGGTTGGTCAAACTCTCCACTGATCCCTTTTGACATGCTGGGGAGTGGAAAAATCAATAAAATTTTCTCCAACAGTAAAAAAAACCCAAATTTTTTTCTGCCAGTGCAGCACAAACAGACTGGCAAAAGACCTTTATGCAGAGCAGAGGAATGGAGGCAAACACAGACATGGGGTGAACACAGCTGCAGTGGACAGCTCTTACGTCAGCTTAAACTGCCACGGAGGGGCAGCCGATGGCAACCAGCTGTCACCGACCGTTAGGTGACACTCTGCCTCAGTTCACCCGTACCCACGACGCTGCACAGCTGCTGTACCTGCAGCCAGAAGGCAGCACACTCCAGAACAGGAACCCTGCACACAGCCACTGCCATGGAAACCAGCTTTCCCAGTAAAGCCATCCTACTGTCGTCTGCTTTGTTTCCTTGAGGGCTGAAGAGAGATGAGAAAATGATCTGCCGGATTGAATCCTTGGTCTGCTCTTGGAAATAATTGCACATAATCTCGAGGAGCTGAAGTTCCTGAAGTGAATTCAATCTCTGAAATAAAACAAAAGCAAAGCTGCAAAATATACTGGGGCTCTTGAAGAATCAAGAGCTGCTTTGGTGAAAGACAGGAACACCAAAGGCCGAGAGCTTCTCTCGGGTGTCAAAAACTCAAACTTTGTGCAGCGCACATATTCAAGCGTCCTGACCCACCACTGCATTTACATACTTACAGAGAAAAGCTGTAGGTTGTATTTGAATACCCAGATACCCAAGACTGGTGCTTGCTGTACCAGCAAGCGCTGCCCATGGGAGATGAGATGGTAGCAAGACCTAGGTGAAAAATATTTCCTCCCTCTCCAAGTAACAGCACTAAGGGAACTGCTGGTCAGCTCTGGGGCTCACAGTTGGGTCCAGCAGCCCACCAGGTCCCCAGGCCATGTACCCTGACATTCACCAGAAGCTGTGGTTTCTGGTTGCTGCTCTCTGCGAGGTCCCTACCCCAGCTCCAGCCTATGCCCACCATCTAAAAACCTTGGTCCTGCCCAGCCACAGCACTGTGAGGATGTGGGCAGTCCCCAGGGGCTTCCAGCCCCCCCC